GGTGGGGTGGAGGAAGGGTGCTTATGGAAGACCAGATTGAAGAAGGGGAGGTACATTGTTTATGAAGGATCCCAAGGGATGGCTGAAGAGTCTGAAATTTTAACATGTTGGGGAGCCACCAAAGCCCATCAAATAGGGCGGGGATAGGTGAGAACAGCGCTGGAAGAAAGTTCGTCTGGGTGTGTGCCCTGTGGATGGGGGTGCAGGGAAGGGAGTTTCATGTTGAATTTTAGGAATGAAATGTTGGGGACTTGGACTCTGGTGGTGACATGAATGTAGAAAAGAAGATGGAGAGATGGGAGGTTTCATATCCCAGCTCTGTCACTAGCTATCCGTGTAACCTTGAGCGGGTTACTTAATCTCTTGGACCTCAGTTTCATCATCTGTAAATGGAAGCTAAAAACACTTTGCAGGACTATTGCGTGAAGATTTTAACTTGTGTTGCACCCTGCACGTAGAAGGTGCTCAGCCAAAAAAGAGCCCTCTCATAGAGTAAGAGGCACGGTTTGTGACTGACCCGGAGGAATGAGAGGAGTGGAGAAATGGGCCTCCAAGGGCCTCAATGAGTTGGATCTGGGAGCCTGGGAAGAGGGTGCAGCCTTGACAGAAATGGATGGAGCTATTTGGGGTCCCCGAATTCAGCCCTAGGAGGTCTCTCCTCCTAAACCCAGGCTGCCGAGGGCCTGTCCCTGGAACCCCAGAGCCGTGGGAATGGTGCCTCTAGGAAACCATGGCCTCTAGCTTCAGCTGGGCCCTTGGTGGTACTGACTGGCAGCCAGCTCTCTTTCCCATCAGGGCATCAGGGTTGGCACTGGGTGAGGTGAGTGAGGCACTCAGGGCACAAAATTTAAGGAGACACTCAGTTTCAGGGCCAACCCTGCCCTTGCATGATTCGCCCACAGCAGGGAGCCCGCTCAGGTTCCTGCCTCCCCTCCTGGAGGTTATTGGTGTCTGGGCTCATCCCAGCCTGTGTTCCTTCCACTCAGAGAAGGACATGTTCCCTCTCCCTGGCCAGAGAACCTCCTTCCAGTACATGGCCCCTCTGTCTCCTGTAGCTCCTGGGACCTCACCCCTTTCAGTCATTCAGCACTAAACTCTTTCCTCAAACTTCCAGCCCCCTCTATTTCCATCCCCTCTTCGTCCCCTCACAGACAGGAAAAGTCTGGGAAGCACCTGCCCTCAGGCTTTGCTCCTTTGCTGCCAGGGCCCACTCAGAGGGCTCTGCCCGTGGGAGGGGGCCTGGAATGGGGGAGGGACCTGGTGGATTTGCTGCAGAAGGCTCCCGCCTTCCCCAGGAACTGCCCTCTCTGAGGTCACCTGTGGCTTCCATGTTACCACACCCAACGGACACTTCAGTCCTTATCTTTCTGGACTCTTTGCTACTTTTGACACTGTGGACAACTTCCTCCTTTTGGTAACTCTCTTTTCTCTTGTCTTCTTTCATTCCACAAATAAAACTTTCAACAACTATTTCTTGAGCAATTACTATGTGCTGGGCTCTGGAGCATACCATAAGATGATGTCCTTACTCTCGGAGGTTATAGTCTAGTGTGAGAGGAGGGATAAAAATAGGAACAAACGTCAGGTAGTGATAAAGCTACAGAGGAAAATGTAACAGAGCAGGGGGTAGAAAGAGTGCAATGGTGGCTGCAGAGGGCCTCACTGAGAAAGTGACATTTGAGCAGAAACCTGGAGGAAGGAAAGGTAACTTAGTAGAAGAGTGTTCCGGGTAGAGGGAAAAGCACGTTCAAAGGCCCTGAGGCAGGGGCCTGCTTGGGATGTTTGAGGAAGCCATTGTGGCTGGAGGAAATTGAGAAGGAACAGAGGTGGAGGAGAAGAGTTCAGGGAAGAGGCTGGGTCAGGACATGTGCGCCTTGTAGGTAATGTCAAGGACTTTGTCTTTTGCTTTGAGAAAGATGAAACACTACAGGAGTGTTTTTAGCAGAAGAGTGATTTTTAAATAACCACTTAGCTGCTGGGGGGAGCATGGTGTAACAGTTTGCTAGGGCGACAATAACTATTTCACAAACGGACAGCTTAAAACAGAAATTTATTGTCTTATAGGTCTGGAGGTTAGAAGTCTGAGGTCAGGGTGTTAGCAGGGTCACACTCCCTCTGAGGGTGCCAGGGAAGGACCTGGTCCAGGCCTCTCTTGTAGCTTCTGGTAGCTCGTTGGCTTGTGGCAGCACAGTGCCAGTCTTCACATGATGCTGTCATGTGTGGGTGTCTGTGTCCAGATTTCTCCTTTTTATAAATTATTTTGGAGCAGGGACTCACCCCATTCCAGTATGACCTCATCTTCACAGCTTATTGCATCGGCAACGACCCTGTTTCCAAATAAGGTCATATTCTGGGGTACCGGCTATTAGGACTTCAACAAAGGGATTTGGGGAAGACACAATTCAACCTATTGCACAATTCAGCACACATCGTAAATGGATTGTAGAAAGGTGAGGGTGCGCGTAGGGAGCCCCATTAGGAGATCACTGCAATAACCTGGTGGGAGAAGCCACTGGCTTGGACCAGAGTGGTAGCCATGGAAGTGGTGAGATGTGGTGAGAGTCTGGATCTGTTTTGAAGATAAAGGTGACATCATTTGCTGATGGCTTGGACATGGGGTGTGAGGGAAAGAGGGGAAGTCACAATGAATTTTGGGTTTGGGGCATGAGCAACTACAAGAGTGGAGTTGGGTCTTTCTCTTTGAACTATTGGGTTTTCAGAGCTCTGTCCTTGGCTGCTTCTGGTCTCCCTGATTGATAGGACCCGTTCCCATGTGAAGCTGTGTATCCTGAATGTGCTGTTTGGGTCACTCCCACAGGCCCTGGCTCCGGAGGATGCTGAAGGAGGAAGACATGAAAGCAGGACAGCCCTGAAAGACTGAGCCTCTCATCCCGAAACAGGTAGCTTCTCTGAAATTCTTGGTGTCTGAATGGTTTGTAAAGGGTTCATAAGATCATTTCTTTGACCCCTGTGTTGTGTGGAAAATGCCCCAAGAAGGAGAGGAGGGCTCCTCTGTGCCTGGACATCCATAGATTTCTGGAAAACTTTGCCTGGGAAATGATCAGAGATTGTGGAGTCACATGTTGGAATTTAGCATCACTTGGAATGGGGCCAAGGGCATCCTGTCCTGTCTCTCTTGCCTTTGCAGAGTTGTCGTGAATAGTAAAGGATGTTCACAAATGCTAACTCTAGAAGTGTTAAAAGGGAATTAGATGTCTCTGGACAATGGTAGTACAGAAGCCGCTCTGAGAAACTCCACGGAGCCAGTCAGAGGCGGATTCCTGGACCACCAGCCTTTGTGCTGGCCCTGGGGCATTTCTAGCGTTTTTATCAGTTCTGGCCTTCTGTTCTCTTCCAGGCTCAGTTTGTCCATCTAGAAAATGGATACATAGCTGTGATTCCTCTGCCCAGTTCCACACAGAAGCTGTCTGAAGGCTCAATACTTTTGTGTATAAACAGATTTTTTTTTTTAGGTTAAAACCCTGGTCTAGCAAGAGATGGCTGTTTTCCACAAGTTTTCATTGACAGTGGGCAAGGAGCTTAGTGGTGTCTAATTGGATTCTCTTGATGGGG